TTGATAAAAGAAAATACATCTAAAGGGCTTTTATTATTTTATTATTCAGTAACTGACACCTTTGTCACGACCCAACCCCAGGGGTTTAGGGCTGAAATCGCAACTTACTAATTGATTCTAATCTTAACAAATTAAATGGCACAGGTGGAAGCAGAGTGGAGGAAACAAAATAATGGAATAGAAAATTAACTTCATTCTACTATTTTGATAAAAGAAAATATATGCATAGAGCTGTTATTATTTTATTATTCAGTAACTGGCCCTTAGTAAAAAAAAAATTTAAAAAAATAAAAAAAGGAAGAAAAGGAAAGAAAAACAAAATAACAAATCAGTATCAAATTCTTGTGCAAGTTTCACTACATGAGGTTACGGGTCTTCCTTACATCTCGTCACCTAAAAAGGTAATAGCTATAAGCACACAGCAGAGTGAGAAATATTATGCAAGAGTATAGGAGACACAAAATAACCATGAATAGTTATTTAAGGTAAAACATTAATATAACTTAATTCGAATAAACAAATTATTTAAGTGACAGAAACTGAAATCCAGAAATTATGTAAATAAATAACTATAACCATGGTACAAAACAAAATAGAATATAGGTCACTGGAGTGACAGTCAGAATAGAGGTCAATGGATCCATGACAAACAGAGGATCACAAAGTGGTGAAACAGAAGCCAATGGTTATTTAAGTCCCCCAAGGCATGGGACTCCCATGGTCGTACTTATAGAAAATAATTGTTTATAAAATCATTGTCAAATGATTTCTAAAATTTAAACAAACATAGCCATGGGTTTCATATAAGCAATTGGAGTTTGGAAAATAATTAACGTAATTGAAATATAAATATAAGTTATAAAACATAACTTGCATAAAATAAATTATGATAATTCAAAACATACGTAAAATATATTATGATGGCTCAAGGTATAATATAACTTGCTCTCTTGCTCTTTTGGCCCTTCCTTTGCTCTCTTTTCTGCTGATTCCCTTTTCTTTGTTTTCTTTGTTTTTCGTTGGTATTGACCTCACAAGCCCCCCCCCCTCTTTTTATATACACATGGCCTGGGTGATGACTCACCCAATACTAATGTCCCTAAATTGATGAGTCACCTCCCCCTAGTCTTAGACGATATAGATGGCTCACTTTCCTTCTCCTTAGCAAATTTACGTATCTTCTCAATTTATTTGCTGTTAACTTGCTTAACTTGGCCCCCAAGTAAATCTATACATTATATTTGTTTTTATATAATCTTTAATTCTAATTTGACGCAACTAGTATTATAATTTCATAATTGTGTTAATTTGGCCCCAAATAATTAATCACATATTTGATAACCTAATACCAAATTAGATTTATATTTTTATTTTATTATTATTTATTATTTTAAATTTGTTATTCCTGTGGTGTTAATTAAACATTTAGGGTGTCACATTTAAAATAATTCAACCGTCAATTTTACCTTATTGAGAATTCCACAATTAAATTAGATAGTTAAATGTAAAATATTATACGTGGCGTGATCGTTATAATCTCTTCCCCTTAGAAAGTTTGGTTCTTCAAACTTAAGATGCTTGTACTTGAAAATTAATCATATGGCCTTGCATTTTTCTATTAACTTTCCTTATCATTCGCTTTTCTCATCATTTGATTGTCTCGTCATAGGAGTTTAGCTCATTTCCATTTAGTGGTTAATAACCTAAATTGTAATTCATCCTAATTCATATCAAAAGCTATTTTAGTAAAATATAGTAGACCTCAAAGTCATCCTCGTAATATTAAGCCACAAAATTTATTAACCCCAACATACTACTCTTATCAACCACATATACTTTTATTTAGTTATTCATATATCTTCTAATAATCTTTATATTTCCAATAATCCACATGTCTCCAAATAGACAAATGATATTCATGATCCTACTTAGCTTTAACAAATCAAAGTACTCTCTTATTGACATCTTATATGAGGTCTTCAAAATAGGTTGGGTATGCGATACAACTTCAATAATAAATTTAAATCCACAAATTTTCTGACCACAATAATTTGGTTATTTGTTCTTATGAAATTCATAAGTCATCAAGTCAAATTTTTGGGGAAAAAATTTCTCCATTGGTTCCACAAGAAAACTATTTAATCTCAGAAGTCAAAAACGACTCACTTAGGTGTATGATCATAACCAATCACGATAATAACAACAACAACAACAACAACAGCAACAACAACAACAACAACAACAACAATAATAATAATAATAATGGGTGTGATAGTAAAATAAATAATTAATTTTATGTTGGTATGCGATAAAGTGTAATTTAATTAGGGATTAGTTTGTTTATATAATTATGTTAAAGAACTGGGCCAGAGTATAATTACCGCAAATGTTAATTAGATAAGCATCAATCTATGGAGGTTTATGATCAAATCTAGGGGGATTTGGGCTGGGGATACGTGTTGGCCTGATCGCACTATTGCCTCCCTAAAAATAGGGAGGAGTTGCGCAAGATCAGTGTGAAACAAGAGAGGAAAAAACACGCAAGATATTGTAGGTATGAAACTATTAGTAAGAAGGTTTGTGATAGTGGAAAGTAAAGGCTAAGGGTCAATATTAAGGTGAGTTATATTGTACCTTAAGTCATCATAATATATTTTACATATGTTTTGGGTTATCATAATTTATTTTGCGTAGTCTATGTTTTATAAATTATATTATATTTTGATTACATTAATTGTTTTCTAAATTCTATTTGCTTAAATTGAGACCCATAGATATGTTTGTTTAACTTTTAGAAATTATTTGACAATGATTTTATAACTAATTATGTTTTGTAAGTACCACCATGAGAGTCTCATACCTTGGGGGACTTAATTAACCACTGGCGTCTGTTTGGCCACTTTGTGGTCCTCTGTTTGGCCACTTTGTAGTTCTCTGTTTGTCATGGATCCATTAATCTCTGTTCTGACTGTCACTCCAATGACCTTTGTTCTGTTTTGTTTTGTACTGTAGTTATGGTTATTTATTTACGTAATTTCAATATTTCAGTTTTTGCTATGTAAATAATTTTTTTTATTCAAATTACGTTATGTAAATATTTTAACTTAACTAACTATCCATGGTTATTTTGTGTTCCCTATACTCTTGGTATAATATTTCTCATTCTGCTCTGTACTTATAGCTGTTACCATTTTAGGTAATGAGATGTAAAGAAGACCCGTAATCTCGTGTAGTAGAACCCACACAAGAATTTGATGATGATCCGTTAGTTTTTTCTTTTTTTTCTTTTCTTCCTTTGTGTTTTACTGAGGGCCGATCACTGAATAATAAAATAATAAAAACTCCATAGATGTACTTTCTTTTATTAAAATAGTAGAATGAAGTAAATTTTCTGTTTAATTATTTTCTTACTTTTATTTTGCCTCCGCTTGCGCCATTTAATTTGTTAAGATTAGAATTATTTAGTAAGTTGCGATTCCAACCCTAATCCCTTGGGGTTGGGTTGTGACAAGGTGGTATTATGTTTATTTATTTAAGTAATTTCTGTATTTTAGTTTCTGCTATGTAAATAATTTGTTTATTCAAATTACGTTATGTAAATGTTTAGCTTAACTAACTATTAATGGTTATTTTGTGTTCGCTATATTCTTGGCATAATATTTTTTACCTTGTTGTATGCTTATAATTGTTACCCTTTTAGTTGATGAGATGTAAGGAAGATTCATAACCTCCACACAAGAATTTGATACTGATCCGTTATTTTGTTTTTTTCTTTTTTCTTTTTCTTTTCTTCCTTTTGTGTTTTACTGAGGGCCGGTCACTGAATAATAAAACAATAAAAGCCCTATAGATGTATTTTCTTTTATTAAAATAGTAGAATGAAGTAAATTTTCTGTTTAATTATTTTCTTACTTCCATTTTGCCTCCGTTTATGCCATTTAATTTGTTACGATTAGAATTATTTAGTAAGTTGCGATTCCAATCCTGATCTCCTAGGATTGGGTTGTGACAAATCCAATCTCGGGGATCGATAAAGAAGCAAGGGTATAGAGGTACAGAGAACTCGACGATGGTTGGTGGTGTTTGTGGTGGTGGTTTGTTGTTCTTTCATTTCTCTTTTTGTTTTGTTTTGTTCTGTTCATTTCTACAGCTAGAGTGAGAAAGAGAAAGAGATGAAAAGTGAGAGAGAGATGTTGCTGTTGTTCATTGCAACAGATAGTGGCCTGTGCATCTCTTAGTTCAATATATATATATATATATATATTTTGTATTTCAACAAATCATTATCTTTTAACAAATAAAAATCAACTGATAGCAAAATTTCAACAGACTAGGTGATAAATTTCAATAGATAGTAAAATTTTAACAAATTAAATTCAACAAATATATATAGAGATAAAAAAAAATTGTGTAAAAATTCAAGTGATAAATTTTAACATATAGCAAAATTATGAACAGATAAGGCGAAAAAATTGAACTTATATCCAAAAAATTTAAACAGATAAAAAATAATTTGAACAAACAGTAAAAAAAATCAACAGATAAATTATGAGGTAAAATTAGAAACAAAATGTCTTCTAAAATCAACAAAAAAAACTTTTCATCAAATTATTTCATAAAGAGTGGATCTCTCGTCAAAAATAAAAAATAAAAAATTCACCGATTCTAATGTTTTATGCCATACTTAGATTAGAATTTTTTCAATAAATTTTTTCAACAATTTTTATAATTAATAATTTCTCATGCATATCAAATTTTATTGTAAAATTTTGTGATTTAATTATTGTTAACATCTACCTAGATGGTTTAATATTATGACTTGTCGCTATTAAGATATAATTTAAAATTAAGATGATTTATTTATCACACAAAATATATATAGTTTATTTTTCCGTGCATCGCACGGATTACCGCTAGTATAAAATAAAAGATAGTAATTAAATATAAAAATTGCACAGCGTAATTTAGCGAGGAGAGTGTGCTATATACTACCATACATGAGGATGCTGATGATGATGTTGGAGCAACCTCAGCCGCTGCTGCTGCTAGCGGCGGTGCAGTTGTAAGGACTTTACAGTCTTTTCACATCCACACACCCACTACCATAGTCTTATCTCCTCCATCACCGCCTTCATATCCCCAGGCAAAACTATTTTCCTTTACTTTCAAAGTCAATCCAAATCCAAAAACAAAAACAAACAAAAATCACCATATGTGTCTTTCTCTCTCTGATATTGTTTTGTACTAATGATAAAGAAAGGAAAATGAGACAATGAGAGAGGAAGAGAGAGAGAGAAGTAGCGTGGGAAAGTAGTTTGGAGATAATAGAACAGGTATGGCACCAGCAGCTTTGGGGTTTCCTTTTACAACAGCTCAGTTGAAGGAGCTTGAGAGACAAGCCACGATCTATAAATTAATGATGGCTTCTCTTCCTGTCCCTCCTCATCTTCTTCTACCCATTACTCCTAATTCCTCCCACTGTATGATTCTTGTTTTTTTTATTTGATGTGGGTTTTGTTGTCTACTCACACAAACTCGATCAAGTTTCAGGAATTTTTGTTGTAATGTTGTTTTGTTGTGTTTTGGGCAGTGGATTTGCAATTCTGCAACAACCATAATACTAATAAGGATGGTGCAGAGCCAGGGAGGTGCAAGAGAACTGATGGGAAGAAATGGAGGTGTTCGAGAAATGTGGTGGCTCCTCAGCATAAGTACTGCGAGCGACACATGCACAAAAGCCGCACCTCCCGTTCAAGAAAGCCTGTGGAACTTCACCAGAACCACCACCACACCACCGCCAACGCCAAGACAACTCGTGTTCTTCACCACCAGACTCTTTCACCTCATGAGGTTCTCGGATCTACCATTCAACCTCCAATTCCTAACAGGTGGGTTCGCACACCAACTGTTTGTTTGTTTTTTTTGTTTGGTTGATTGATCGATTGTGATGGGTTATGTAAATTTCGAACTATATGCGAGTGCACCCCTACTGTTTGATTGATTGATTGATTTGTGTGTTTGGGTATTGAAGGGGATTGGACTGGATGCTCGCAATGGATAGGTCGAAGCAGCAACAATGGCAGCAGCAATTGTTACAGCAGACAAATATAACCTCTGTTTTCAATCAAGATTGCATCGACGAGTCTCTGAATCTGATTCCCTTTGCCGATGAGTGCAATTTGTTTCTCAACCCTGATCTGGAGACTCCTAGGGGTTTCATTGATGCTTGGTCAAATGAAGATCCCAACAGTGCTAACAACAACAACGAGTCCTCTGTTTCTTTACGTGGGAACCTCTCGCCTTCTTCTCTCACTCTGTCGATGTCCACGGCGGCGGCGGGCGGCGGCGACGCCCTCACCGGCGAAATGGGTGGTCAGATCCAAATGGGTTTAGGCATTAGAGATTCAGATCACCATGAAGCCCAAGTTTCAAGTTGGCTGAGTTCTGTTTCTTGGGAGGGTTCCACACCTGGTGGACCGCTAGCCGAGGTCTTGAGACCGAGCAGCGCCGCCGTGAGAACTCCGGCGACTAGGGTCTCATCTCCATCGGCGGCGACACCGGAAATCATGCCTTTTCAATGGCTGAGCTGAATTTAGAGCAATTAGGATCTTGTTGAAAGTTGATTTTGTTTATGTTGGATGGTTCTTTAGTTTTTCTCAGGTGATCACATTTTGTTTCTTGTTTATCTTACTCTGAGTCCAAACTAAGCTTTTTACAGTTTCAATTGTCAATACATTAATACAGACATTCCTATGAAAATGTTTAATACAGTGTGTTGTTGACCATGGGTTTAATTGGGAAGGTCCTGTTTTTTTCAAGCATGGTCGTCTTCTTGCTACTGATGGTAGAGTTGTTGCCAAAAAGCCAATTTTTATCTTTTGTTTTTAAAAATGCAACATAGACTGAAGATTTCGTAGAGTATGGATTTAATTGGGAGGTTCCTGTTTTTTTCAATTGTGGTCATCTTCTCGCTACTGATGGTAGAGTTGTTGCCAAAAAGTTATTTTTTATTTTTTATTTTTAAAATTCAACGTAGACTCTGAAGATTTCATAGACTACGGATTTTATTGGGAAGTTCCTCTTTTTTTTCAATTGTGGTCATCTTCTTGCTACTGATGGTTGAGTTGTTGCCAAAAAGCCATTTTTTATTTTTAAAATTGAAGATTTCATAGACTATGGATTCAATTGGGAAGGTCCTGTGTTTTTCAATTGTGATCATCTTCTTGCTACTGATGGTAGAGTTGTAGCCAAATATCCATTTTATTTTTTATTTTATAAATTCAACATAGACTGAAGATTTCATATACTGTATAGATTGTTCCAATGGGAAATGATAATGTGATGCTTCTTCAGAAATATTTACAGTTTTTATAGTAAAAAAATTTGTAGTTATTGATAATAATATTGTTTTTTTTTATATATATATATATATTTTTTTTGATTGAGATGGGGGTACTTATTGATAATAATTTCATTGTTTATAACCCTGTTTTTTAAGAGACTAAGGCCATGCTTGAATAACATCCTAAGATAACTTGTGTATATCAAATTGAACTTGGATTTATGCTTCAAGACTTGATTAATAGGCAAATGATGAGATTTTCTCGCCTTTGTTGGGGGTCTTCATCGCCTTTGTCATGTCTATATATCCAACTCAACTTGGATTTATGCTTCACGACTTGATTAATGGACAAATGATTAGGTTTTCTTGCCTTTGTTGTGGGTCTTCCTTGTCATGGGCCCATAGATTCAACTCAATGTATGTATTTGGATTTTTTTTTACCCCATGTTTTTACTTTTGCATATTGGAATATATTGAATTATTTAGAATTAAGAAAATCTTTTGAGAACTTTTATAGCACAGGGCTTGAGAATCATACATAATTTTTAAACAAAAAAATTATTCTCCCGAATGATGTGGCAAAAACTATTTTTAATAAAATTATAAGTCACAACAAGAAGAAGAAATTAATACTTTAATTTGACCCACTTGGAACATGAGTTGAGATGGCCGAGTTGGTCTAAGGCGCCAGATTAAGGTTCTGGTCCGAAAGGGCGTGGGTTCAAATCCCACTCTCAACAATATGTTTTTTTGTTTTTGGTTCTTCTCTTCTCTTTTCATCAGTCATGGTTTTTCTGTTATTCGGTTGGGTTTCATCTTCCTTTGTGCTCTCATCTTTTATCAACTCCACATTGGCAGGAGTTTCATGGTTCTGTTCCTTGGGCAAGGCAGAGGATGGTTCCTGAAGTTGATTGTATCAGGAGCTTCTTTGATTTCTTCCACTTCCTCTGTATGAGTCTTTCCCACAGTCAGGCTTGGGCCAATCTCATGAATTTCTTCAACAACATGAACTTTGGACTCAGATATTGCTTCTGAAGTTTTGGATTCTTCAATTTGAACTTCATTTGAATCTGATTTTTCTGTAGTTGCACTCATGTCATGTCTGCATTCTTGTGTTCAATTGTTGGAAGCTTCGACAACATGCCAGTGGCTTCTACAAGCTTGATCTTGTCAACTTCTGTTTCATCTTCCTTTGTGCTGTCATCTTCTAACTCAATCTCTTTCCTAAACTCTAGAATCAGAGTAAATAGCAAATACCCTTTTCTCTCATTCGTTGTTCTCTCTCTAAAAAAACCCATTTTCGATTTTCCCCAACTAGTTTTTATATCCTTTTCTCTCTCTCCTCTGTTTTACTCTGTTCTCTGAAACACAAACCTTGTTCTTGGGTTAACCCCTTTCTTTCATTGCAGTCTTCAACTGGGTTGAACTTGAATTTGATTAGCATAATGGGTTCTTCAAAGAAGCATCAATTGGACGGAAGAGGCAAAGAATCAGACGGCAAGAAATGGGCAATTGCTGGAATTTTGATTCGTGGTTCGTTGAAATCCATGAAAACGAAGCAGAGGAGAGAGTGTGATGATGATAGCGACGAATTGACAACCCCAACGGCAAAAGAATTGAGGATACCGGAGACATTGCCTTGCCCGGCGGCACCGAGGAAGCACTAGGCTTCATTGACATGGCATTACAATGGTGGGAGTAGGAGGGAGTTCTTTACTCCTCCAGACTTGGAATTAGTATTTATACGCCATGTTGAGAGAGTAATTGAGTTGTTTGAGGACTTGGCTTGTTCTGTTGTTTTGCTTTTGTTTTGTTTTGTTTTTTGGGTTGCTCTGTTTTAGTAATTGTAGACTGTAGTAGTAGCCTAGAAAGGAAATGATTGAAGTGTACAAATATATGGGTATTTATGAAATGGCTGGCTAGTTGAGTATATATAGTCAAGTTTCTGAATTGCATTTTTTATTTTGTGTGTTTGAGTGTTGGGAGTCGAATGAAATTTGTTTCACATTTTATTCACCAGTTGTTTGAGGTTTTGAATGAATTAAAGATGGACAGAATGTTAAATGAGTGGCATGGCTAGTTGAGTATATACAAATGTTAAATGTGCTTTAGTTTTCAAAAAGTGGAATTGGATCTTTTGTCTCATTTTTCTCTATCTCCGTCTCAAGTCTCTCTCTATCATTCGTATCAAACTTAGAGAAAAATAAATTTTATGAAAGAGAAGGTGAAGGTGTTTAAAACAAGAGCAATGTTGTATACCACTAATTTGTCATCACTAATCCCACCACTAGTGAGGTGACAATTGAAAAAAAAAAAAACAAAGCACAAAACACATGTGGCAGTGGGTGAGACCCACTGTCACATCATTAGAGTCACCACTAATTAGTGGTCTAAAGCATTTTTGTTAAAACAAATAAACAAGAAAGAGTGAGATACCTAAAAAAAGCTGGCCAGAAAATGTTAAAGTAAAATCCTTTTCATGGCTACGATGCTCTGCCCACGGATGTTTCACAAATTGATTGACCCATCAAACACCCTTTTCTTTCAAGTTCCTCGTAATGCAGTTCCAGTGACATTAAAAAGGGACAAAAATACATATGGGGTTGTCCTATAAATTAGAATTCTATGTGGGGTTTTAAGGGTTGTTCATTTGTTTTGGGAGACAATTGATGATAAAGACACTTCGGAAAAAAAAATTAGTATTTTATGTGAAAAGAAGTTTAGTATTGTACTTTTTGTACTAGAGGGATTACAAAACACAAATTGATTCTAGGCAAATTCAAAAACCATGTATCTGGTTTGTGCAAGGGCTTCAGGTGTGTTTATCATTTACCAAACTCACGTTTGCTTATCTGAAAAACTATTTATTCAAAAATTTGTTGGAAATGGTTATAAAATTATGGATAAAATCAGAATTTTTTTCTAAGTTCGGTCTATTTTTTAGGTGGGCCCCGAGTGTCGATTTACTCGGGTCAAAGTGGTAACGCGTTCTATGCCGCGTTGTGATTCACGTGATATATTTGGTTGTTCAAAACCATTACCGAGTGAATGAGAAATTGAAGCCAAAGTGTGCTCCATGGAAATGGAGTTTTGGTGGAAATTCCTTAAGGTTGTAAATTGGCTTGTCCCACATTGATTTAGTGGGAAGTTTTGAAAGGGTTTATAAGGCTTAGGGTGAGATACTTGGGGTGTGCCCCAAGGGGTACCCAAGTGTTTCAGAGGGAGGGGTTATGGGCAAAATAGGCTAGACCCATTAGACCCAAAAATCACCACGCGCGCCGTCCGTCCGGTTTGAATTTTATTTTATTTTTTATTAAAATAAAATCCAGAATTCAAATTAAATTGGTTTGGATTTTTTGTTCATCCAAACAGGGCCCTTCCCGTTTTCAAATAGAATTAAACTGATTTGGATTTATTGTTCATCCAAACAGAGCCCTTCCCGTTTTCAAACAGAATTAAACTGTTTTGGATTTATTGCTCATCCAAACAGAGCCCTTCCCGTTTTGCTATCTGTTTGAATTCAAAACCAACAGGTATCATACCTGTTCAATTCAAAACCAAGAGCCACTCACATTTTATTCACCAGTTGTTTGAGGTTTTGAATGAATTAAAGATTGTTAGAATGTTAAATGAGTGGCATGGCCAAAGATTGTTTATTTGTCATTTGTGAGTTTTAAGGACAAATGTGCTTTAGTTTTCAAAAAGTGGAATTGGATCTTTTGTCTCATTTTTCTCTATCTCCGTCTCAAGTCTCTCTCTATCATTCGTATCAAACTTAGAGAAAAATAAATTTTATGAAAGAGAAGGTGAAGGTGTTTAAAACAAGAGCAATGTTGTATACCACTAATTTGTCATCACTAATCCCACCACTAGTGAGGTGACAATTGAAAAAAAAAAAAACAAAGCACAAAACACATGTGGCAGTGGGTGAGACCCACTGTCACATCATTAGAGTCACCACTAATTAGTGGTCTAAAGCATTTTTGTTAAAACAAATAAACAAGAAAGAGTGAGATACCTAAAAAAAGCTGGCCAGAAAATGTTAAAGTAAAATCCTTTTCATGGCTACGATGCTCTGCACACGGATGTTTCACAAATTGATTGACCCATCAAACACCCTTTTCTTTCAAGTTCCTCGTAATGCAGTTCCAGTGACATTAAAAAGGGACAAAAATACATATGGGGTTGTCCTATAAATTAGAATTCTATGTGGGGTTTTAAGGGTTGTTCATTTGTTTTGGGAGACAATTGATGATAAAGACACTTCGGAAAAAAAAATTAGTATTTTATGTGAAAAGAAGTTTAGTATTGTACTTTTTGTACTAGAGGGATTACAAAACACAAATTGATTCTAGGCAAATTCTAAAACCATGTATCTGGTTTGTGCAAGGGCTTCAGGTGTGTTTATCATTTACCAAACTCACATTTGCTTATCTGAAAAACTATTTATTCAAAAATTATGTATTGAGGTCATGG